GCCATAGCAAGCTGGACTGTGTGATTATTCACAAGTCAGAGAGCATACAAATGTGCCATCAGAACAATAGCTGTAATGAAATGTAAAAAGTTTAGTTCAAGAAACAAAGGAAAACCGGTTTCTCCTTACCTTTCTCAATGTTTATCACATGCCGTTTTGAATTTTTTGTTTAAAATTAAAATTTGGGTGAAAGGGAAATGTTAGAACAGCAGTGACGTCACTGATTTCCGTTACGAGCCATACACTACAAAACCTTCAATCATTTTGAATCCTCATCACCTGGGCCCAACCTGGAGAACGGACAGACCCTACTGATACCAAAGATGAGGTGACAATCTTTTCCACATCATCGGTTGGCCGCTTCGGCATTTTCTTCACTCACGTCCAGGAATTGCAAATAATGCTCGCCAAGGAAGTCGATTGGCTGGCATGCGTACTAGTGACCGAGCCGGCGCAAACGGTGTTCGAGAGTAATGCCCTAGAGACTGGGATTATGCACTTCGAGTACTTGACTTCTAACTCCGAGTTGCAGCAGCAGTTGCCGAAAAACAAAAGTCGTTTCAGATCTTCCGCGTGAACAGGCGACGTCTCGCAAGCGTACAGCAGGACCGCACGGACAATGGTACCGTACACTCTGCCTGAGTGTTAAACTGATGTCGCGACGGTGCCACACGTGTCGCTGGTTAGTGAACGCCAGGTGGGATTTTGTGATTCGCTGACATACTTCACTCCAACACCGCCATGATATAACTCAAGAGATAAATAAACCGGTTCACTTGCTCCAGGCAATCACCTGCAATTAAGAGTGTAAGCACTGGCACTTGTCAATCTTGGAGCAGGGACAAACCATATTTAGATGCCCCAATCGCTAGGCGGTTCAAAACGTTTTGGATGGACTATGGGTCGTCCCTCAGCAAAGCCATGTCATTAACAAAATCCAGGTTCCCGATTCTGTCCTCTGGGAGAAACGCCACGCCGCATCTCCTGGCTTCTTACAGAGCCGGGTGGAGAACGTCATCATTGACAAAGTCGAACAAGAATGGTGCGACAGGGAAACCTTGGCGTATTTCGCTGGTAACAGCAAACGACGAAGAAAGCCTTCCATAAGCGTTAACGATAACAGATGTGTGACGAGAGATGTCTTTCAAGATTGTGGCAAATTTGTCGTATACACCGCTCCCTAGTAGACCGTTCCAATGAGATGTACTACCTATGGAATCAAAGGTGGCATGGGTGTCTACAGACATCACTATTATTGCTCGTCGGTGGATGTGATAATGTTTAAGAATTTGACGTAGCGTGAAAATCTGGTCGATACAATCTCGACTGGTGCGAAAACCAGCTTGTTGCTCGCGAGAAAAACTCTCGAGTAGCTGGAAGCTTGCGGAGCGATATTCCTTGGTAGTTGATGCAATCGCTGCGGGAGCCTTTCTTGTAAATAGGGACCACGTTGGATCTGACCCAAGGGTTGGGAATCTTCTCATTAACCCACACTTCGTGAAAAACGAGAGCAGTTCGCTAACAACTGTCTTGACGCTATCTTTGAATAGGGCTAGAGGAAGGCTGTCAGCGCATGAGGCTTTGTATCGTTTCAGTCTGGATTGCTCCACGAATCTCAGCCTGTGTTATGCACGATAGCCGGCAGTTGAGCTGGATAATTAAACTGAAGAGCAAAGCGCTATGTCCAGCGATCCAGACGCTTGCGTAATTTGTTGATCCAAGTACCGTCTAAAGAGTACATTGGCTTACTGGTGGCGTGATTTGCATCGAGTGTATCAAATGAGGCAAAATGATCAGCGGGTGTTTCCAGCAGCGGCAGCAGCGTTCATTTCCGTGGCTCGATTAGATCACCAGGATTCACGATCGCGGCGAAGACTTGCTTTTAACTATTGAGAAATGGTTCGTCGGAGTTCAATGTGCTCCACACTGATGGGAATAGACCACCGACGGTCAAGTAGTTCCGACGATGTCGCCGAGATCCAACTTTTAGCTGCTGAACGAACAAGATCACAGGTAGACAGACCCGAAGAAAACATGACCTTTTGTAAACGTAGCCAATGCTGGTCAACGTAAGGAGGAGGGAGAAGTGAGATTGTCACGGAACATACGTTGATATTCCACTTGAGCAGCAGGGTCTTCCAATTTACCAATGTTTAAACGAGTTTGCTTAAATTTAGGCGAGCCTCCGAAGCACATGCATACCGTCGCACGTACCGGCGCATGAGTAGATTCGGTGTAAGTTGACCAATAAGATCGGCAGTTCCAAACAGTGCCACGCCACCGGCGACTTACAGCGACGTGGTCGATCTGCGACCAAGGTTGCGATGGTGGAGCAAGCCAGGTAGCGTAGTGAAATCTCGGGTGGCGAAGTTCAGGCTGGATAGCTAAAGCTGGTGGTCGGCACATAGGCTGAACAGTCTTTCCTCATTATCCGAGTGAACAATATCGTATGTGTGCGGAAAATCGAGATGGCATTTATTTGGCAGTAAACGATCAACATACGCATCGAAATCCCGCGCCATAACAATGACGCCCGTTTTGGGGTCCTTCAAAGCAGGTCTTGAAGGTCTTTGACTGTATCCAGACTACAATCAGTGGGCGCATAGGCGTCTTTCGACACCTGTTAACTTTGGACGAGCCTTGGAGCCGCAAATGCGACTGTTGATGGGAATCCATTTAAGAAGGTTAGCTTCGGCTCTGGAACTAGGGCAATCCCAACGCCAGCATGCCCAGCTGCAGTGGACTCGGTGTCACCAGAAAGGCAAAGAAGGAAAAGGGTGTATAGGGGAACAGATGAGGACAGTTGGTAGACCGGAATGGGATCCTGAAGTCGGATAAGCAGCAGACACCTATTGCAGGAGATTTCAGGAGACTTTCGGGATCGGGTTGTTGTCTAATTTGCATTAAGATACGCACATTGAACGCTCCAAAATGGAACTGTATTTTGGATTGAAGGAGCGGAGAGAGGAAAGCTTGGGGTTTTCTTCCCCGGTGTGGTGCCGTGTGCTTGGTATGGCGGCAGTCTCATCAGAGAGCGCGATGCTGTTTATCGATGACGAGTCAGACGAAAGCTGGGGAGAACGATATAGAGGAAGTATAGATAAGTAGGTGGTGTGTGATTGGGTAGTAGTAGCAGAAGAGCAATCCACTAACAGGGCGAGCGAGTGTAGTTCAATCCAGTTCAGTTCCATGATTCCTCAGTAAGCAAAATACTACCCGGTTGTCTAAGCCGAAGTAGGAAGCTTTCTTATGGGATCGCCATCCCGAGCGTTTGGTCAAAGTGCCCAACCCACAAGGCAATGGGGCGATATGAGGGACTAGTACACGTTGGGAGCCGATGACCGATCGGTCGGTCGCTTGTCGGATGGCTAAAAGCCATACCAGGGGCCTAATCCTCCGTCGACAATGATTTTATTTAGTGGCGAGTCACATCCGCTACGTCACAGTACTTTCATGCGGCTTATGTGTTTTTTTAAGGGCTAGGCAATAAACCCACCACGCGCAGAGTGATGAGCTTGACCTAAGCCAGGCTGCGCCTCAGGGAATCAAAGTAAGACTCATGAAAGTTGCACAAGACAGGATCTAAGCGTGTGTAGGAACATTGGGAGCGACTTAGTTCGGTTTAGAACGAGGTGCAGTTAAGATCCTGCAGGCGTTTCTTCTAGACAACATAGTATTTAAAGTTCGCAGCAGAGCAGAAACAGGACGAAGGGTGTCGGTGTCGTACCGCGTACATGTAACAAGGCACTTTGAATGGGAAGAATAATGCCGGGTAGCGAGAGTGATAAACAGGAAGCTCTACTAGACTAAATAAATAAATACACTGTATATTCTCATTTTTGGCGAGACATGCCTGTGACATGTTCACTTAAATGAATCACTGTCTAGTTCAGTGACCATGAATGATCGAAAAATGTACAACAGTAATGAAAATCGTTTTTCAATTTTGGTAGAGTATCAAAGTTGTCTGTTGCTTCAGTGTGTTACCTGAAGTTGCACAGGATGTCTAAGTCGGGTTTGGTAGGTCTCTGGAGAATATTACTACGAAAATGTATATAGTAGGTGTCCATTTTCTTTTAGGTGCTTTGTTCATGGCTAGTTAGTAGGATCGAATACTAGTAGTGGCACTCATATGAAGCCGGAGCAAGAGGAGCGCCTAGAAGAGATAAACGTAAGAGTAAGGTGCAATGTAAGTAGTAGGAACATCTACAATGAAGACGGAGAAATGGTGTGTTTGGTTGACTTCCTCACTCATAATACGCTTGTTGGTGACAACTCTGTCGTTGTCATGGCCAAGTAGGAGGAAGAAAGATGAAGACGGTGAGTACGGGGACCATACTATTGTAATATTCGCTCTGTGTTGTAGACTGGTTTCGGGATCATATAAATCCTGGACTTTGTTTGTATGTTTGGTTGTTCGTTATGTGACATCCCGATAGACGGATCACATTGAGCACGGTCAAGTATTTGCTGGTATTCTTTGAAATTGCTGCTGTGAATTACTAGCACGGATATTGTTTGGCAATTTGTTCCGGAAGGGGTTAGCGGACCTGGTGGACTTCGACCTGCATTCCACTACCGAATGTTCCTTATTTCGTGTGTTGTATAATGGCGAGCGTATTATTGCTATTTTAAGGTTGGAAACATGCATTTTCTTGTGCAGGATATTATAGAATATGGTTAGGTTGTGCTTCATTCGACTCAACCAGATGGGATTAAGGTTGAGTTTTGCACATCGCTTGGAATATTCTAATTTCGAAGATGTTCCTAAAAGGGGCGGAATCCAGCAGGACACTTGAAAGAAAAGCTTAGTAGCAAGAACCGGTGACTGAAATGTACCGCGGGCAGTATAGAATCAAATGATAAGAGGTGATCAGTATTCAATACGAACGGCATCAGCCAGTTAGGGCGCTTATCAAGCTGTACTAGAAATGGTGTTAATGTTTAAATGACTCGCACTACCGAGGAGTCTGAAGAGGAAACACACAACGAAATCGGTGATCGAAAAAGGCTATTCATTCGCGCTCGGCTGCAGAACCTTCAAAGTGGAAAAAAATAGGAAGACTAACCGTGGAGCGCAAATTGAATCTTTCCATCACTCCACAACGAAACAACTACTTGGAGAGTAACGGAGTCATGTGGATGGACGTAAGGTCATCGAAATTAAGCAGGATAGAACAAACATTTAGGACAGCATGTAATAAGACGAAAAAACACGGGAAACCGTCAACACATGAATGAAGCACCCGGCAGATGGCCTTCATGGTGAGTTGGAATTAACATTCCAGTTTCCGTGGTCAGTTGGGGATTCGGACCAAGAGAACAGATGTGAGTGGGGTTGGCGTGGAAATCGTTCGTGCGACGGCGAAAGACCAGGGTAAAGTAAATAAACGCGCCCACCACAAATAGAGAATGCAGTCACGGTTCAGTTCTTGGCATCGGATGATGAGTTACTGGTAGGTTCTGCTCGAAAATGCTCCAGACGCCGCTTGCGGAGTTCCGTTAGTTGGGCATCTCCTTCGGTTTCTGGGAGAGCGGTGGAGGAATGTAATGAACATCAGCATAAATACGTGTTATACGTGGAATCTGTAGCAAGTTAAACGCATTAGGCCAGACGACTGCTGTTATTTGTAGAACAATGGACAATGGTTTATTACGGGTAAAAAAGCATCGCTTAACAAGTCCCGTGGGATGGAAGTGATTGCGAAAATAAATTGCATAATAAAGTGAACAACGTTGTGGTGGACTCACCATGGACTTATGTGAAATAGCGGAGATGTGCGCATATTAAACGTATAAATCCATAAATCCAATGGTTGGGCGTTTGGCAAGAAACCGTTTGATTGCGTTTTGTAGCCCCTGGCTAACAAGTCATACAATGAAATGTAAGTGAGACAATGCATTGTCAAGACGTTTTTTAAATATCACCAGATCGGGAGCAGAGACGACATAATTAGGGAGGGCATTCCAAGGCTCACACAAGCGCAGAGAAAAGAAATTTCTACGGCATTCAAGCCGGCTATACTGAATTGTCAGTTTAAGAGGGTGACCTCTTAGTTTAGTGTTGCGGTTCAATTCCAGCAGCGGACGGCAAATGTGGTTTGGGTTCTTCAGAATCTGGTAAACCATTATGAGATCCCCCCGCAAAAGCCGATATCGACTGCTGTACATTCTTAGAGATTTCAGTCTATGCTGATAGGGCAGATGAAAGAGGCCCCTGACGTTCTTGGTTGCCCGTCGTTGAGGAGTCTCGAGAGCAACGAGATCCTGTTTCTGCCACGGCTGCCACACCTGAATAGCATATTCCACGTGAGGTCGCACGTAGGCGTTAAGCATTTGGGGAAATATTGAGCGTTCAAACCGACCGAAGGCTCTGCGAAGAAGGCCGAAGTGTTGATTTCCGGTTCTCCTCGCCTTCTCTGCTTGTTTGGAACACCCGAGATCTTCCTGTACCAATACACCCAGGTCCCGCTCCTGAGAAACCTTCGCCAAGGTGTGGTCTCCAATCTTGTAAGCGCTCACCAGCTGGTGACGCAGATGCATCACTTTGCACTTAGCCATGTTCAATTGAAGCTTGTTCCTCTTTGACCATTCGTAAATGCAATCTAGGTCATGTTGGAGCAGGTCCTGATCTGCCTTGTTACTAATCGCCCGCCATATCTTGACGTCATCGGCGAAAAGCAGGAAGTTTGAGGAGATGACCCTTGCCAGGTCGTTGATAAACACCAGGAATAAACACGGTCCCAGCACTGAGCCTTGTGGGACACCACATTGCACCTCAATTGGGTTAGAAAGTGATCCCCTAACACGTACTTGAAGCTTTCGTTGGTAAAGGAAGTTGCCAATCCAACCAAGTACAGGATCTCCGATTCCGTAACTTTGTAGTTTTTGAAGTAGGATGTGGTGATCCAGGCGGTCGAAAGCTTTGGAGAAGTCCAGATAGATGACGTCGACTCCGACCCCATCATCGGCCACTTCCGTCCAACTACCTCGTGCAATAAGTAGGTTGGTGGTGCATGACCGGTGTTGACGGAAGCCATGCTGTCCCGGTACCAAAATGTTGCATTTTTCTAAGTAGTCCATTAAAGCCTCAGCGACGACTGCTTCCATCACCTTCGCGAGCACAAGGAGGAGAGTCCCTGGACGATAGTTTGCAGGATCGCAACGGCTACCGCCTTCAAAAATAGGGGTTATAATGCCACACTTCCACATAGTGGGGACTTGTTGTTCATCAAAGCACCTTTGAAAGAACTGTGACAGTGGTTCAGCTAGCTTGGTGGCCACAGCCTTCAGTGCCTTCGGGCGGATGTTGTCTGCTCCCGGAGAACTATGTTCACGCAGTGAGAGTAACTTCCTTAGCACAATTGATGGGTTGAAAATAACATTTGTAAACAAAGGTGTCGGTAATGAGCTTGATATTATGGGACAGGTAGATGTTGCGAGTACAAAAATTGGGGCGTATTGCAGCCGCAGGGCATTAGCTGCTTCTTCGGCGCTTTGTACTCTACCGCCTGCCGTGAGTAGTGGGGGTATTCCATGCTTCACTTTACGAAGCTTATTGACATGCTTATACAGCAGTTTGTTGTTTGCCATGAACTTTTTGGCTAGGCACTGTTGATACGTTATTTTGTCCTCACGGACAAGTGCGGTGCAATGATTGCGATGGGCCAGGAAATTTCCCCAAGTCTCTGAGTCGGGGTCAATCTTGTAGGCACGCCATGCTGCATCCCTTATCGCCAGGCATTTGCGAGTCCTACTCCTTATAATTGAAGGCATTTTCGCGGGATGACGGGGTTTGGTCTCTGATGCTTTGTTGATGATGTCGCTGAGCTTATTAACGAACTCTGCCCAAACGTTGTCAAGGGGACTTTTGTTTGAGAATTCCCAAGCAGCTGCGACGGCGAGTTCTTTCAATACGTGGTAGCGTGTGATTGTATGAGTTAGTTCCGAGTGTTCAGATGGATACTCTGCATAACACACATAGTCAAAAGTTATTACTATATGGTCACTGAGACCTGATGGACTATCCATCAATAACTTGTCAATCATGAGCTCTTCATTTGTGAGCACAAGGTCCAATATGGACGGTTTGTTTGCTGTCCTGAATCTAGTGGGCGTGGTGATATGATTGCACAAAGGAATATTAGCGATCAGTTCCTGCAAGTCTGCTTTGAACTGCTCACTGGGCGATGCCGAAACCTCCAGATTGTGTAGATTGAAGTCCCCGGAGATGAGAATGTGGCTGTACCTAGTGCGTGTTACTCTGTTTAAGCCACGGATTAAGCAGGAATCCATTTCCAGAGTGGACGTTGGGGGGCGGTAAACGATAGCTATGAGACAGGTATCGTTATGTCTCAGTCGGAGACGGCACCAGAGTGAGTCGGTAACGTGTGTTTCCAGGTCCTCAACTATTGTACATTGTAGATCGCTGCGGTAGTAGAGTAGGACCCCACCTCCTCTGCTGGGGCGGTCGTTCCGGATGAGGGACATTCCGGCTATCTCAACCTCAGCATCAGTCACCTCTTGATACAACTGGCAGAGTGAGGGGATGTGATTATGCAGAATTATGCGGGAACCCTGTAACACCCGAGGACACTGTTACAAACTCAGGGTCCCCTGCATGAACAAAGTATCACATCAGCTTTGTATACAACGATGAATCGTAAACTTATGGAATACACTACCAGAAGGATTAATAGAGGCCAATTGTGTGAAGTGTTTCAAAACACGTATCGACGATTATTTCGGAAACCTGTGGTTTTGTAAAACGATGAAAATACAATTCCAAAAGAAGACATCGTATACTCGGAAATAATGACACCAATACGAATTCCTAACCGAACAAGGATAAACGATTAACTGACCAAACACTACTGCTGATGATTCGCAAATAAATGTTTGTGATTTTTCACAATCTGATAGAGTTGTACAGAAACCTTTCTACTTGCTCTTAAATACAGTCTCAAACTGAGTAAGTGGAAAAATGCAATTCAAATGGTCTTAACTTGTGTAAGTAATTTTGATTTGAAGTAAAGCACGTAAGCTGTGCGCAGTATTGTGAAATGACTCGTCAAAAACAGGACTGTAGCATCATAACAAAGAGCTTATGTCCTGTATCATGCTTCACACTTGTTTCTTAGCGACGCTATCACTCTAAGTAGGACAAATAATTGAATTCCATAGTACGCTGTGTAACCACGCATTTCTTGAGCGTTTCATCATTCTCATGTTCTACCAAAAAACTCATGTTCGCCATCTGAGTGCAAGTCTCAGCAAAGATTGTGGTGGTCAAGCGAGAAGGGCGTCAGCAGCAACGCAGACGACAGTGAGTGACTTGTGTTAAAACACTCGTGGTGACAACGACGAACGTCGCGAGGGAAGTGTTGTAAAGGTCCTAGTTGTTTCGACTTCCAGTCAGAACGGACGTAATGTTTTTCCCCGGTGGCAGCCTACATGCAGAGTGGTCAATCGAATTCGGATGGGTACGACATAAGAGACGTACAGCCAGACGGACCAGGTAACTTCTTACGGCTGAACGGAGACCCATAAAAGTAAGACTGGATTGCAGCAAGAGTTCGTTTACTGACTCAGACGAACATACTTTCTACATCTTCGTAGCTACAACTCATTAACATTACAGCGTAATGTATAAACAATAGATGAAGGTGAATGTTGGTAAGGCACATAATTTGTCACGTAGTGACAATGTAATGAGGAAAGCTCAGTTGAAATAACAGTGTGGATTAGGGCTCTAGATACAGCAATGCTCTGAGATCAGCTCACTTGAATCAGTGAGAGTTGAGGCGGTAGACATAGCAGAGGCACTGTAGAGAGCATATGCGGTCTTTGCAGTTTGTGTTAGCACATAAAAGCGGTTAGAATGACAGCTTAGCTGTTATCTAAGCAGTTTGGGTCACCGCATGGCGACAGTATTGCTGACAGGAGCTCCTCGAGCTCCGTAACAGAAAGTGAATCGGAAGCAGTAAGGTCTGAAAGTAAGTGGATGGAAATTATGGTTGGCAGCGGACTTTAGCTTCAACAACACATTAAGCAGATGTAATGGAGTGAATGACAGCATCCACGTAACAGGGGTCTTGGATCACTATGACATTAACAGTCTGGAAGTAAGCTGGATCACCACCTTATTCCACAAAAGTATCATGGAGAAAAAAGCGAGGCCACCTAGTTGTTCTTTAGCTCTCCGAAGTAAAAGTTTGGACGGCGATCGAAACCTCGAGTATCTGAATCAGGAGCATCCATACTGCACATAAACTCGAAGCACTTTATTGTGGTTACGGTTGATTGTACGAATAACCTGCTGCTGCTATTGCGCAAGCTGACCGGCCGACCTTCCAGGTTAGAAGACAAGGGCCTCAGGCGAAAACTGTATTGAACACTCGGCGAGTAGTGTAAACAAATCAAATAATCGGGTCGAATCAATAGTTAATAAGGGAACGGTCTACTGCACCCTGGCGGGTTTCAAGGTAGACCATCTTTATTGGCACCGTTTAATATGAAGCGTCACCAATGGCCCGTTCTCATTGGTTGGCCAAAAAGTCTCGGCCTGCGTCATGGTCAGCTGTTCCGCACTGCCAGCAAACGGGTGTCAGCTCCCTTAACACTTCCCCGCGAAAATTAGCATACTGCTTTCTTGGATCCAGATGCATTCTGAAGACGGTTTCCGTACGCGATCAGTCCGGTGCCGTGGTTCCATTTTCGGTTCTTTTAGAACTTCTATGCGAGATGCATCTGGAGCTTTCTGAATATTTGATGGCATTTCAAAACTGTCCAGTAAAACATCTAGCGAGAGCAGTCGATGACTAGTGGTTGCCGGGATGCTAGTTGGTCGCAGCTGATTAGCATGCCTAGTCCAAAACAAAGTACCCACTCTGATCTCATAGAGTACCAGACCAAGTTATCTCCAGATCGATCCTATCACCCACTGAGGACTTCTCACGCGATAGTCTTTTGAACAAAACACGTGGTCCTGTGGAAAAGTGACATGTTTGTGTTCCGTGTCGCTCATTGTAGTACTTTTCCATACGAGGTTTCCTTTCTTGTGGGAGCAGCAAGGAAGTTACAGTGCAAACCTTGCTTCCCATTAATGCTTATGATGGCGACAACTGATATGGCACCTGGGGGCTCGACGTTGATCTATACACTAGAAGAAACGCGTCCAGTATCTCTTGCGTAGTTTCTTCTCCCTTCATCTTCAGTAGCAATCGCTTAAACGAGTCAAAGAAGCGGTCTGCTTGTCCGTTTGACTGAGGGTGAAATGGCGGTGAGTGTAGATGCGTAATGCCATTCTGTGCGCAAAACTCGGCAAACTGGGAAGAAGTGAACTGCGAACCATTGTCAGTGACTAAGATTTCAGGTATTCCGTGCTGAGTGGAAAGTTTTCCCAGAACGTTAATTGTTGCACCGCTTGTTGTGTGCTCGATGCAAAAGATCTCGGGCTATTTGCCAAAGGAATCAACAATGACCAGATAATGCTGACCATTCAAGGGAGCAAAGAAATCAACGTGCGCTTGTTCCCACGGTTTCGTTGCCATCGGCCAGGAAGCTAGTTGGGCCTTTCCGGGTGCTTTACTAACAAGGGCGCATCTCGGACATGACTAGGCCGGTTGCTCGAGTTGTGAGCCAATGTTTACCCCGTAGACGAAAGTTCGCGCAATGTTTCTCATTCAGTCGATTCTAGGATGACTACGGTGAAATTGCTGGAGAACTCTCTGTCGAAGCTTTCTGGGAATGATAACACTTTCGGCCAGAAGTAAACAGCCATTAACGACTGAAAGCTCATCTTTCCTCCTGGAAAAAATCTGTAACTCACCAGCTAAATTGTCTCTCGCCCACTGAGTAGTATGGAATTTGGTTGCCTGGTGGAAGGTGGAATCTGGTGCAGAGGGTTCACGAACAGGAAGATTCCTAAAGCTCTCTATCAATACTTGATTCACCTCTGATTCTAGGGATATCGCTGCGATGATGCCGATTTTCTAGTAGTCGGGAAAGCGCATCCGCTTGTCCGATTTCCTTTGTAGTCGTGTACTTCACTACAAAATCAGAATCGAGCAGCGACGTGGCCTAACGCTGTAGTCTGTTCGCGGTATAGACGGGTATAACAGACTTCGAACAGAATATTGTTAAGAGCAGCTTGTAGTCAGTAAGTAGGGTGGACCTTATTCCATACATTTTGTGAAATTCCTTTATTGCGAATACCATCGCTAACGCCTCTTTCTCTAGCTGCCCGTAATTCCGTTCGGCTGGCGACAATGACCGGACTGCATGTGCAATCGGGTGTCTGGCCCCCTAAAACTACTTCAATACGGTAGTTTTCCAGTGGCTATTTCCCGTTGTCACTGTTCCTTTGTCGTGGTCGGTATAACCTACGTCTGCCCTGCTAAACCGCATCAATTCTTCGTTGACCAACTGGTCCGTGCAATACCGTTCGGTTGGCGGGGGTGGAGCTAACCAGTTTTCCACCCGCTCAACAGGGCGGTCGCAACTGCACACCTTGTCGCCAGCTACGTCCGTTAGTGCGTGGGCGCTGTCCGCTTACTATTGTTTAGGCTAATCTGATTCGTCATTGTTTAGGCCGGGTGGACTCAGTCGCTCTTCTTTGATCCGTGCGATCGTTGTAGGTTTGAGTAGGTGGAGTTCCATTAGCTTCTGTTCACTGGTCTCGTGTCAATCTCATTCACTCAAGGTATCAATTAGGCTGGTTTCGAGGAGCAAAAAGAGTACTTGGCCGCAACACACGTGTGAGGTACGAACCAAACAATGCACGAGACTACGTTCTGGGTTAAGCGGTGGCCCTGAAAAATAAAATCTTCCAACACGCGCACCAATGATCATTATCAGCGTGATGGCCGAAAACAGGACATAAATACTCGATCCCAAGGGGGATGTGATATAATAGCGAACGGTTTGAGACTCACCGGGTGTATGCCCAACACTTTCATTTTCAGCCGTAGAGTTCAGCGTGGTGTCCAACCTAATGAAAACAATAGCAAGCTTCAGTGACATGATGAGCAAAAGACGACCGAGATATTTCCCACAGAAGCTAAAGATAATTTACACGATATAATAACTAAGAGTAGTAAAAATATTCCAGATTGGAGTGCAGGTGGAAAAGTAGTTTGTTCATTGCAGTAGCCTGCAAACATTACATCAAAGAGCTAGGCGACACCGCCAGTATGCATAGGAGCCCCTTAGCTAACAATATCTCTAAAGACAAATGTCATCTGATCCCCATACTTTGACAACGGCAGGGTGCATGTCTGACGCGGTCAATGGGTGCGAGTTGGCAGGATTTTCCAATGAATGCGTCATACGAGGCAATGGAGTTTTAAACAAATGCACCAAATAATTATGTTAAATGAAACCAACGTGCAGTGATAGCGATTTTTACTGGATGACTTCAATGCAAAAATAAGACATCGACAATCTGTGGGGATAGATGGAACATGTGAATAAGAGGAGAAGTCCTCGCTAAAACTGTCGCCGAACTAGTTATCGGGCCTGGTGAAAATGTCAAGCTGATGATGGGTTCTCGCAAGTGAAGAGGGCGGATAAGCATAACCCTATGATGAAAACCACCGTAAAGTACATGCAGTCGCTCGTTGGGTGAGGAAACAGCAGTATACTAGTGTTTCGCACCGTTGTCTGTTGCCACATTACCATAAACAGACTACTACAAGGTGGGGATACTACTGGTGTGCTCAGACATAGGCATGGGCGGAGACTCCACTCGCGACGCAGTTGAAAGCCAAACGCCCGAACCTCCACATCACAGATCGTACAAAAAGTTTCCAGTTACAGAAATATGGAGACCTAACTGGATGCGGCTTCGATTTAAACTTTTGAACATGAGAGCGCATGAGAATCGAGAAAGTTTTGTGTTAGTTACAAATAGCTTAAGGTTGAGAAAGGTAAATGTTTGAGTGTGTTATGAAGAAGGAAACAAGTATAAGGATGCGATAAAGGTGAATTCAACATCTAGTTTCAGCTGTATCCGCTCCGAAGTAAGAAGTATTCTCAAGTGCAACAAATGGAAATAAAGGATAATATCAGTTTCGATCAGATGAATACACAACACAGATACAACGTTCTAGCCGTGTGCTGATAGTGTCTTGAGTGCCAGTGCGCTCTAACGCACGTATTTACAATTATAAAGAGTCCGAGTGGCTCACAAATAGAACCAATAGTGATGAAAGGGTGAGAACAGGGGGATTGCGTGTCAGAAGCCACACACGTACTTGTTCGAGAAAAGGAACAGCGAGCTCATAGGCGTTGCTCGCGGAACCCAGTGGTATAATGGAGGTGTTTACCGGCAATCCTTAACCAGGTTGTCCCTAACTGGAGAGTTCGAACCAAGAGGAAATGATTACGGAGTCCAAGATTCGAGAATAGCAACATGTAACACTATATTGTAAAAGGTATTTGTATCGTCCTCGTAATCTCTTTTTTCCAGTTGTCAATTTTGTGAGGCCAATGAAACAGACCGGTGGGATGGTACATCACGAGCAACAGTTATTGCGGTTTCTTCCAAGATGGACTGTACCAAAATGTTACGCATTTTGCAAAGAGCACAGAGAAGATAGCTTGAGTGCATGCGGAACTTGCACACACACACACACACACACACACACACACACACACACACACACACACACACACACACATTGCGGCCAGAGTGAGACGTTTGTGGGCGAGCGAACTGAAGCGAGTAGACCCTGCATCGCATTTAGTAACTAATACAGACAAGATAGGCGTGCTTAAAGAGCCTGCTTCGCAGAGGAGGACTTGGTCATCATAAACAGCATTACATCATCCACTTGAAATAATGCTTCGCCGCCGTACAACCGAGCGGATGAAGAATACTGGAGGGAGAGAAGAAAGACCTAGCGTAAAAACGTAATGCCCTAAGCAAACATTCAAGGTCGAGGCACACCTGTCAACAACACTGTAATAAACAGCAGGCTATCGAGCAAAGATAAGGCGACATCAGCGAGACAGCTTCCTTGTGGCTTTCACTGCCACACGTCATAATCAGCCATTATCCGCAGATAACTCAGCACGAAACACACGTTAAACAGATAATTCAACTAGATGGCATCAGACACGCCATTGGTGTCGACTGAAAGCCAAACACAAGGCGGGCAATGTGGAAAGGCATCAGCAGTACGCCGGTACGCGATAGCGACGATGCGCTGCCGCGCAACCACCACCAGTTGCACATGGGCTAAGGATACTGCGAGGGCCGCTCTGTCCATACGCAGACTCGCTCGCACAGCCAGATTACAAGGCATGCTTGTTACCTTTAGGCTAAAGGTCAGCTGGACTCCAGCCTAGGAGAGGAGAGGGACTGAAGGCACAAAGTTTGATCCCCAGTGATTTCATTTCCCGCTGCCACCTTAACTTCTGGCCACCTTGTGTCTTGCGCCATCATAATTCCGATAAACAAAACAGGGCCCTTGTCGGTAAGCGGTGACCAAGCACATGTAGTACGTACCCAAGCCAACGCAAATTATTCAGTGGTATCAGTTGTTCTAAGAAAGTAGCTTGCTAATCATTGCCTAGCACTCGCCTACGAACATCATCGTTGCAGATACCCTGATACCAACTGACAACAGAAATGCTTCGAAAACAGCGGTGATCAAACACTTGGAGGCGTCTAAGACCTTCAGATTGAAGGGACTAAGTATGATGGCGCACCCTATGCCCTTGTAAATACAGCATCTAAAACCGAGAAAAACCCCTTTCTGACACCAAAGATGTGGCAGATGTAAGAAGACAGTTCTAGCTCTAGCAATACGTGAACTGTCTTCAGTCGTCATGCAACTGCCAAAGTAAGTGAATTAATCAACTCTCTCGAGTTCATGGCTGTCAAGTGGCTAGCGGTCCTGCACCAACATTGCGCACTTTGAAGGTGTGAAGCACTAGCCAAGTGATGGAACTACAATTGAGATGTTCAGGGTTGACTAGGGCTGCAGCAACAACGCTAAACATCAAAACAATATCATTCGCATAATCAAGATCAACTAGCATTTTACTAGGCAACACCTTAACGCCTGCATCGCGAGATTATGCAAGGAAACACTTCATGGTGGAGTCCACGACAAAGTTAAACAAAAGTGGGGAAATTGCGCAACCCCGACGAAAGCCACTTTTGATAGAAAGATTTGCGACAAGTCACCGTAGACTCGGACGCGGCCTATAGTGTTCGAGTACAAAACAAGTAAAATGTTCATAAGTTTCATAGGAATACCTTACGGCAAAAGTATCTCGACCAGAATGGGTCGATCGACTGAGTCACTTTTGAAGTCGAGGAAAACAGCTATTGTTGGCCTGCGGTACGTATGGCGCTGCTCTAGCAGCTGCCGCAGAGGGAATATATGGTCTATACAGCCCTGTCCTGGGCGGAAGCGTGCCTGATTTTGGCGACTCACCGTTGTCGTGTTTCTAGACATCAAATGTATCTTCGATTCAATGGATCGATGTGCCCTTTGGGACTGTCTGTTGAGAAAAGGTGCCCGATAAATATGTAAACATTATCAAAACGTTGTACGCGCATAGTGAGGATTTATGGTAAACTGTCGCCGCCCTTCAATATCACCAGCGGTGTGAGACAACTTTGCCCGCTGTCACCTTTCCTATTTAACTTCGCTATTGATGAAGTCATGGAAACAGCGTTCGATGGACACGACCTAGAAGGTGTGGAGCTACTTCCTGGTGAACTTGTTGACTTGGAGTATGCGGACGATATTTCCCTTATATGTGACAGCATCCAAAGATGCCAAGCAGTACTGGACCGATTAGCATTGACTGTCAATCGTTTTGGGCTATGCTTTGCTCTATCGAAATGTAAAGTTCTTCTCCAAGATTGGCAGGGACCCACTCCTACGTTAAAAATTTGTGGTGATCAGCTAGAAGTAGTTAAAGTACTTGGGCAGCTATATTAGCAATCGTGGGATCGAAGGTGAGATTAAGAAACGTGTAGCAAAATCTCGAGGTGCTTTTGCCAATCTCCGCCACCTGTGGCGCAGACGCGACATCACTGTCTCCCTGAAGGGCAGAGTTTACAACGCAGCCGTCCGTTCAACCCTCTTATACGATTGTGAAACTTGGCCAATCAGGTCGACAGACATAAAGAGGATGGTCACGTTCGATCATCGCCGCCTTCACAGCTTAGCTGATGTCTGATGGGAGCATCGCGTGAGCAATGAGCGTGCTCGGCGCCGCATATTTGGTGCACGAAGAGCAAGTGAACCGCTCAGCACCATTATATCACGCACCAGGCTCCGATGGCTGGGCCACGTGTTGCGCATGCCAGCACACCGACTCCCGCGAGATTTATTGTTTGCGCGCCGGGCGTGCGGTTGGAAGAGGAGACCAAACGAGGAGTTGGTCGAGAGAAATAAAAACCCTCACTTCGAAGTTGGCGTCGGTTGGTGCATCCCGACTGCCTGGCTGGGTTCTTAAGGACGATGAACACGTTTGGTTGGTCACACTTGCTGATATGGCTAGGAGCCGGCCCCAATGGCGTTTGTGTTGTGCGCTTTTTGTCCATCCCCCTCCTGCTTAGCATCCCCTCCAATCACGATCACAATCGTTAGGCGCAATATAACTCTTTTTGCGGCACGATAGCCGATTGTTAGTTCTCCGGAATGATGTCCATCCGTTACCGGGACCTCAGCCGGCGTGCCTCACTTGGTTTTTCCTTCTTGTCTTTTGTATTGCGACACAATAGCTGAGGTGTTTTGCACCTGCAGCTAACGTGTATAATGAGGATGATGATGAATCCGGGACTTCCGTCCCGCAGTAAGGCTACGAACGAGAACCGAGGCCAGTACTTTTGTCAGAATTGGCGTCAGGCTAATACCAATGTGGTTAGCACAGCCTTTGCAACTACTCCATCATCCCCATCCTCATCATCCTCATCGTCATCATTTCTCCTTGTTGAGGCCGCTGCTGCACCTTCGCGCAACAAAC